TATATATATATTATATAATATAGGAATATAGGAACAGTGATGTATAGAGATCGGTCATAGCCCGTCATCAACGAAACGTTCCTTGACTAATTGTTTAAAAATGTGCCTTCTACTGAACTTGCAAAACTGATAGGCAAAGAGTCGCAGCTAAGGATACTTCTCCAAAAACTGATATACGCCCTCTCAAAATTGGTACTTAGATCCAAGTGAACTAGAGTACACTTAACTTTAGATGTCGCAGTTTATAACGTAAAATTATGAAATAAATCTTTAGACAAATACGTATCTTTAATATGCAACAACTTACAGCAACAACAACAATAAGAACATGAAACACATAATGATAAAAGTATCCTGACGACCTTAAACCAAGGAAGATGTGATCAGAAAGCAGTTATTCTAGCACCAATCTATAACTCCTCTTCTACCTATTATAATATTATAATATATATATATTTACACTTGATTGGTAAATGATTATTTCTGTATAACAGTCCTGAAGAACTAAGACAAGAATAAACATGTTAGCTTGTCCCAATCATTATATTAAAACCACACTGTCCTTGATATGGGAAGTATGATTCACTACCACCAGCTTCAAATATTGAGCTATCCCATCTTGGTGAGGTGACTCACACCTTGGTAGTTACAATTCTCACATTGCAATTTCAAGGTTTTGGGTTTCGTCACATAGAAAACAAAATCACAACCTTTACCTCAACTCAATCCTTTACTCTCCAATCCGAAAGCATCAATATTCTTAAATGGCGCTAGTTTCCTAGTTGCATAATTCTCATCTTATGACGTCAGAGTCATGAAATTTGGAAATTTCCCAATCTTTACCGTAATTTATAATACAGGTAATTTATAATAAAGACTTAATTGAAAATAGAGTTTTTTTCTAAGAAACATGGAAAGACTGAAGCTGCTTTAATGTAATCATGTTTGATCAGAGTCTTATGTTTCATATTTACAGCTTAAAGTTTCAATTAATTCGTGCCATCACGTGAATGTTATTTTCGGTTATGTCAGCAAATTAAAACATCCAGTAATGCGTTGCATGAAATGAGCAACTCTTAATTCTATATTCATGCCAGCAAATGTGTAGAAAAAAGTTCACTCTCTTTTAAATTGAAGCCGTATTAAATTCATTCTCAATACATTTTGAAATTAAAACATCCAGTAATGCGTTGCATGAAATGAGCAACTCTTAATTCTGTATTCAACGTTTATGTTAAGGTAATTACATCCAATGTGTAAGAAAAGAGCGACTATCTTTCGAGTTGAAACCTAGTTCATTTCAAATTCAATCTCTACTGTACATGTTCAAATGAAACAACTGATTTCTCTTTTTATGACTTACTGTGATGTACGGTAGCGCGTAGCCCACAAAAACAGAATGGTATAAAAAAATATAATGGTATTATGCAAAGGAAGTTGAGAATGGATGTTACAAATTAAACAGATTGAGAATTGTGGTTACAGAAAAATATTACCATACCAAAGTGACTTAAATATCCGGGATTATGAAGAAAACAAAGACAGCTTTATTGTTTTATTATTTTTTTCCCGCTAAACCTCATGTTGCCTATTCAATTTTAACTTTTTATGTGTTAATAACATTTCAGTTAGATTCCAAATGCTATTTTTGAAGTCAGTTAAAACATGGAGTTATACAGAAGAGAGGGCCCAAAGAACTGAATCCGTTGAACAGATGTCAGCATCAAGACTTAGTTTCCCAATAACTAAAATGGTAGTATCTGTTACCTGCACTTTACAGCAGAATACTCGGGTTTGCATATTCATCGGAGATTCTTTATTTCCCAAAACAATGTGTAGTTTATTTGTGTTTATTATATTAAAATACTGTTGGTATCACGTGCCTATTAGGGTCTACAGAAAATTAATACCCTACATCCCAGATATCTAGATTCAGTTTATAAACCGAATAACATCATTCTGAAATGTTGAGTGGTCCTTAAACCTTGTCAGGGGTGACTGAACATAAAGAAAATGTTGTTTCCGTTTCGTTTTACATTGATAATCCTACTATGATACCGTACTAATTGTAAAAATGTTTCCTTTAATTTGCAACTTTTCACGTCTTAAACTTTAAATTGAAAACTTTAAATTGAATTAAGAATATTTTCAAACGCATGAGATTATGATATTGAAAATAAAAATGAAATGCCATTGAAGCGTTTAATCTCGACAAATGTCTACATTATGTCAATGTGTTTCTGATTGAAGTTTTTGATGACATGGAAAAGTTAGGAGATAGAAGTATCAGTTGTCACTAGTAGACCTATTGGATTACTTTCACACACAAACAATGTCGATACACAATAATGTAAACTAAACCAATAGACAGTCTGATGGTAGTAATGATAATAATGATGATGATGATGAAAATAATAATAATTAAGTAATGGTAGAAAATATTGATATTAATAACAATAATAATAAAACTTATGATAATTAATAATAATAATAATAGTAATACTAATACTCATAATAATAATAATAACAATAATAATAATAATAATAATAATAATAATAACAATATAAATAATGTTAACAATAACAATAATAATTATAATAAACATAAAGAAATAATAATTATAATATGATGGTGTTCTCTTTGCCTGGTGCAGCTTTAAGTTGATGCAAACTTTCATAGGCCTATACAACCAAAATTCAACGCTGATTCACCATCGGTCGTTTGACGTTATTCCAACGCTGAACAATACGAACAATTTAGCAGAAGTAGGAGGTGTCAGTTTTTAGTGTTCTTGTTGCGTTGCTATTATGGGTATCGTCTGTTAAGGATATGCCTACCAAACGAAGATTTGGTGTTCCCTGTTGAGAATGTCTAGCAACAAGATTTCAGTGATTATTGCTGATTTTATGAATGAACAAATTACGTCACAATATTTTTCAAAACTTTTATTTTCTTAACTTTACGGATATCTTAATTCTTATAATATTTTATATACAGCATATACAATCACAGGCTGGTTTACAATGCTCCAGAGAAGATAATTACCGCTATTCATTTTTGTACATTTATTGGACAAATAGGCCTATAATAATGTTGTAGGTAATTATTATGATTAATTACTTGTTACGTATTTACAATTTTGGAATTTAAAGCCTGTTTGGCAATGTTCAAAAGTTTATTAATATGGAAATATAATGAAAATATATAACATTGAATATTTATAAAGCTATGCATCACATTTGAGAATAAGATATAAAAGTGTCAGAGTATATTCCAAAAATTACATACCTATTTTATGCGGTAACTGGGAAACCCTATTCACTCTACGACGGAACATCGAAATTTGGAACCTTCGGTATACTGAGTCACCAGCTATTGATAATACATATTGGGAGTACACATTTTCTCAATACTATGGGTTTTTTTTCTGGGATAAAATATGTCTATATAACGACACTAAATACCGGACTTAACCAACACCAAAAAAATTACAGCATTGAGCAAATTTTTGCTTAATAGATAAGTTAGAAATTGATTAATGTCACATCACATTGCACTAAAATATTAATTAGAATGCTGACGTTTTGTGCGTTCTAAAAGGTGAGTAAGAAGATATAAATTACACCTATACACATGGTCCTATTGGGTGTAAAGCTAGTGCACTGCACTTTGTCTTTCGGTGCGATTTGAACGCAAGCACAAAAAAAAAACAAAAAAACAAAAAAAAAACAAAAAACAGGCCTACATGTCCAGCGAAAAAGTCAAAGTTTACCTCTATCATTCTCATTATGAACCGCTTGAAAGTAGATGCGTAAACGCAACAGGATGTTAAGTTTTACAATAATGCTAGAAGCCTGATGCGTCACTGCTTGAGCTGGAGAAAAAAAAAACAATAGAACATTCACGGCTTGTGGGCTTATTCTGCGTCAAGCCGCTTGCGTTTGAACTAATCTTAAATGTTGTTTACGCTGAATATCAATCAAAGGTGTGCAGCTAAGGATGTTTGCTATTGGTGTGATACCGTTAAGAATGAATATCGCTGACTCTCACGTCAGCACACGAGAGAATCACAAAAAGCAGAAATAATGTATGTAATCAAACTGGAAATTAGTTATTATATACAAATGTGTCAATTATCTCTAAACAACTCTACAGGTGTTGTGTAGGTATCAACGAGTGATGTCCTTGGGTTGTTATTGTTTGCTTGTTGCAACGGAGGATTTCTTAAATTTGCCAACATATCAATGTATTCACACGATCCGTACTGAAGTTCAGTTGGTTTTACATATTCTTGTATTGTTTGGTGTGAACGCTTCATAGTGTCATAAACAGAATCCATGCTTTTTGATTTCGACATGGCTTCTCTATTGATTTTTTTGGCGGCCTTGTTGTAATGGCGCTTACTACGCGACGGAGGTACAGGTGTCTTGACAACGCGAGGTGGGGGTAGCGGTGGCTTCTGGTGGTAGACAGGTAAGCCTAAGTCAACATGATATCGATCAGATGATGCTGTGCTGGATGTATTTACTGAGAAATGTTGGTTAAGGCTCATATAGTGTTCGTCTGGAGTAACTGTTCGGCCGGGTTGACGACGTTTTGCGGCTCCGTCTAGGTTCGGAACCTTGCATGATTGTCGTCGCCGCTTCAAACTAATTGCTAGAGCAATCCCAATGCATATTCCTATGAACCCCATAACCAATCCTACGCCAATGGCTGTACCTACACCAGAGCTATGGTGCTCTCCCTCAGATTTTACTTTGCGATTACTTTTGACAGTTAATCCTCCTAATGTCACTGATTGAGTTGAGTGAGGAAGCATTAGTTCCAATACGCGCAAAGTTATTGTCTGAGACCATACTTTTCCAGAATTGTTCGTTACGTCGCAAACAAATTTCTTATTGTGATCATCATCGTTTATCTGCGTTACTTCCAATGTTCTTTTTCTATCCCGCTCAGCTAATTTAGATTGTTCCATTAGCATATGAAACGGTACTTTCCACTTGTAATCGTGAACGTGCTTAATGCCGTGAGCTACACACCTTAAAGTCAAATTGGCGCCTCTTTCAACAATCGGATCGTGCGGTATAATTTCCACATTTGGTTGTGAAGATCTAACCCATTGTCCTTCAAATACACTAGAAGATGTCTGGAATTCAGTTGGTAAAACTTTTCCAAATGAAATATTTACACGGCCAAAGCAGACCAACACGAGAAGACATATACCTAATAACTCCATTACGCCGTACACACTGTGTCACCAAGTTTCGTCGCTCACTGTTGTTTGCAAATGGAACATGGAAAAATAATCAAGTTTTGTTTTGATATTAGCCAGCGTGGACATATATAGAACGGAAAGAAACAACCACGCCGGTGATTAGGATTGCGCTACTTTCATTTGCCAGCAGACGATAACTGTTCACGTCAATAGTCCCAATTGAATGATGGCGGGAAGTTGACACATTACGCGCCGGACGCGATTACACGCTATATTAACCAATGGATCAAGAGCAGTTTCACAAATTTTAACCAGACCCATGAGCACATATTGGACCACGAAACCACCACAGTATATCAATGCCAATTCAACTTTAGATTTATCTTCATGAATATTATTTACATGAGGAAGAAGCGACAGTTTAAACATCGTTCTAGTGTCTTTTCATTAAATTTTAAGCTATTGCATTTCACTTTCAAAAAGCTAATCAATGACATTAAGCATGCATGTCCTCCGAGAGACCTTGGGGTAAAGAAACAAATTGTTATTGCAGTTGCATTCTTACACAAGTCATCACGTTTCATTATTACATACTTATCGTTTTGTCAGATTTTATAATACAATTTAATATCATAATGCTAAAACTTTTGTTATTTGCGAAATAACAAGATAAGCGTTTCGATGAAAGCAGGATTTGAGAATTCCATTTTAAATTTTGACGGCGGGAGGGTGTTTCAAAGACGAAATGACATTACATAGGCGTGCACTAGAAGAGGTAGGCGTCCGTTCAAAAGTTTTACCCTCGACCTTCAAATTCCCTTTGCAAAAATGATTCGCATAACCTTTACATAAATATTGGATTATCTGACATCTTTAATGACATGATGCATTAACTTAAACAGTGTTGCTTCTTTACTGCGGTTTCTAGTGAAGTTCTGTATGTATATTTTTTATAACAAAAAAAAAAAAAAAAAAAAAAAAAAAAAAAAAAAAAAAAAAAAGAGAGAGAGAGAAAGAAAAAAAGAAAAAAATGTATTTACATCCTACAATTCCATACCACTAGATCCTTGGTAACCCCCGTCCCGCGGGCCAACTCCGGCCTGTAAAAAGATTTGAAACTGGCCCGAGCGACATTGCTAAGAAAAAAAAAATTCGACGGATTTTTTAGTACCTAAGAATAAGAATACTCTACGCCACTAAATAGAATGAGCTAAAGTCAGACTCTTGTTAACAATGCCAAATGAGAGTAAGTGGTCGTGTTTCTATTGACACGGAGAGGGGAAGGCTGATGGGGAGGGGGATAACGGATTAAGTGAGGGAAGATGATATGATTTCTAACCATTGACGGCGCCCAACAGCCAGCGGCCGATCCGGAGAGCAGGCTCGGGGGCATGTGATCCTGACTGGCGCTGGCATTGTTTTTAACTAGCTTGTCGATGTTTTTGTGCTCGGAAACACGAGAACCTAGGGTGCAATTTTTTTTTTTACCCCCACCATTTCTACTTGTTGAAGTTGAAAAACAAAGGCTACATAGGCATCATGGGAAAAAAATGTAGAAGTAGGCGGCCCGCCACCGGTGTCAACAGATTTAAAAATGGTCACCAGCTTACAAATGTTGAGTAGTAGTAATAATATTTGGCTTTTACTGGTTTTTTTGGGGGTCTCCAATAGGTTAAAATGTTCATATAAGCCCATATGCTTATTTATGTACATATACATATGTATCTATACAATCATACATATGTACATAATTTAAAAGAATACATATATAATAATAGTGCTCAAAATCGTATCAACCATAGCCCTTCAATGAAAAGTTGTATGAAAAGTATCTGGCGGGTTTAGAACCTGCATCCTCTCGCTATCAAGGCGAGTATCCTACCATTAGACAAGAGACATATTTCTTTTGGACGCACCTTCAAAATTTGGAGTGTGCCACACTGTTACTTATTTACTATTATAAGACCGGTATAGGCAAAAATCTAACCTCTAGGCACTTTCTCTTATACAACTGACTTATTCCATGCAGGACGAACCTTATAGATCTCTGGCAGTCTAGTACAAGTGACATTAGTGCTATACCAAAATCTTGACGTCAGGCACGTTAAACGAATGAAAGGAACTAAAATTATACTGAAACTTAGGTCACTGGCAACGTTTTCACGTATTTATGCCGCTCGCTATGTATACGAA